GAATTAACTGGGTCAAGTCCAAGGCCGTCATGGAAGCCAAGAACTCCTGGGCTGCCGCCGACGTCTCACCCACTGATGGCAGGTTGAAATCCCCCAAGACCATAAGTCTGGGGGTCCCCACCGCCACCCCGGCTATCACGTCGGCCAGCTCAGGCAGGGCTGTTGATACATAGCAGGGAGCCAGGTATATAATCAACAATCCCACTTGCACCCCTTTCCCCCACTTCACAAAGAGCGACTCCACGCCGTCTATCTGAGGCACAGTGGTCTCCCTTGGACAAAGGCTCTCCCTTATGATGGCCGCTACCCCCCCGCCCCTACCCCGGGTCCTTGGCTGATGAAATGCCTGAAAACCCGGCGGGCAGATGTCTACTAGTGGAACCCCACCTTCTACGCCCAGCCAGGTCTCAGTAATACCTGCCAGGTCCGCGCCCCCCTCCAGGATAAGATCCTGTATGAGGGGGGCCTTATTTACCATGGACCTGGCATTACACAGCACCAGCCGAAGGTCCCGGGCCGGAGGGTCTAAGTCTCCCGGACACCGAGTGGAGACCTGAGGACCGGAGCACCCACAAGCTTGTAAATAGCGTGTGCGTGCTCCCCTAACCTGATATGGTCCTCTGCTCCCACCATATCTGCCTCTCCCACTGACCGTACTAATTCCTCCCTCCTCCTTCAATCCCCCACCCTCTCCCCCCACCCTTTCTCGCTCGCAACCCCCAGACATGGCTGGTCCTGACCTAAGGGGAACCTCCCCCCTCCCATCCTCCCTGGGTCCCCCTAAAAATTTATTAAAACACCCCTGTAAAAACATTCTTAACTTAAATAATTTGGATAATTTTTTGTCCGTGACCGCTGCATGCCACCTCTCAGGGTTCCACACCCCATCCTCGAGGTAGGCCCCCGAGATGTTCCTGGGCCAGGCCTGCACGAGGGGTGAATCGCGCAGGGCCAACAGGGCCGTCTTCGTGTACATGGTCCGAACAAGGGAGTCCGTGGCATAGAGGGAGGAGTGATGTTCAGTCCCCTTAGGACTTTCAAAACCAGGTCAAACGGAGACACAAACAGGCCGCGAGATATCCTCTAGGCCGGGGCGGGCCAAGTCCAAGTCCAGGCCCAAACCCAGGCCCTTGCCCAGCCAAGGCCGCTGGAAAGGCCGCTGGGAAGGCCATAGAGATCGTCAAGGCTGCTGGGGAGGCTCTGAAAGGCCTCCAGTTGAAATCAAAACGGCCGAAAAGGCCCTCGGATAGTTCAAACAAACCGCTCAGCCATCGCGACCACCAGGGCTGCCACCACCAGGGGGCCGTCGAGGCTGCCTGAAGAACCCTCCGGAGGTCCCAGGCCGCCGGGGAGGCTGAAAACCATCGTTGGGGGGGGCGCCTGTAGGGGCCGCCGCAGCCACCAAGGAGGCCACCGAGTCCACGCGGGCCTCCAGATCGTCGGGGAGGCCCTCCAGGTCATCCAGGACATCTCCGAGTCCGGAAGGGGCCGAGGGGGGCAGCCAGAAAAGCCCCCACGATCAAAGCGGGTGCCCAGGGGAAGCCGTCCGGGCCGCCCAGGCCGCCATCCCAGAGGAAGCCGCCCAGGCCGCCACGAGGAAAAGTCATCCGGGCCGCCCAGGAGCCATCCGTGCCATCTCCCACGAGGAGAAGCCATACGAGCCGCCCAGGCCGCTGCCTCCCCCACGAGCACCTCCGCAACCAGACGATCCGGGCCGAGTGATTCGGGCCGAGCTGTCCGCCCCGAGGGCCACTGGAGAAGCCACCTACAAACCACCAACGGGACCGCCGAGGACGGAAGGCCGGGGAAGCCGAAGAGGCCGAAAAACGGTAACCAGTCGGCTCCACGTCCCCCGCGCCCCCATGCGTCCCGTATCTAGTCCAGGGGGGCTTACCGGGAGGGGGGGAGTCTCCGGACCTTTCAGGGAGCTTTCCAAGCTCCCCCTTTAGCCATTTCGGGCTCCGCGTTTTCGGAGCTATTCACCGAAGACCGCCATATAATATATAATATATATTAAAGGTAAAAAAGGATATATGCAGTGTTATCTTCGTTTTAGATATTAAAAGGGTTTTGCGGCTCCCAGTGTCTTGTTTTCGGTGGGAAACGTGTCCAAGTGGCTCTTTGAGTATTTTGGGTTGCCTGCCCCTGAACTAGGAGATGGTGTAGTTGAGTAGCAGGGAGGGGTGCAAAGTTCCTGCCAATTCGCCTTCGCTGCAGACAACTTGCATGTGCAAAGTTTGCCGGCCAGGTGTTTTGGCGCGCTCAGCAGCAATTCCTATTGGCTTTAAAAAGCCAATAGGGGGAGTAGCACAGCTCATGCAAAAGTTGAAAAAAAACATCAAAAAAGGTGCCGGAACGCTGTTCTGAGCGTTCTATGAGAAAAAAAAAGCCCTGCAGATTAGTCTTCAAATATTGAAAAGGAGGACACTTTTTGAGGGAGGACAGAACTCACAAAAGGAGGACTGTCCTCCCTAAAGGAGGACGGTTGGTCACCTTAATATTATGCAAAGACCTAGCTCTCTGGAGAAGTCTCTAATGCTGAGAAGGGTGGATGGAAAGAAGAGAGGATGATAGTTTAGAAATTATTGGTGAATGCCTCACGGCAACAGCACCAACATCCCCATCCAGCAGAAGCCAATGTGGCCGCCACCGGCCCACTTCTTCTGCGGCCGCTTGCCACCCCTCATGTATGTCGTCTCTGTTTCGCTGGCAGAGGCCTTCAGGAAAGACCTCTGCAGCTGAGAACGGAGCCCCAGGTTGACATGCTGGTCATCCCCTGGCCTCTGTTTCGCCAGCAAAGGCCTTCAGAAAAGGCTTCTGCTGGTGAAATGGAGGATAGGGGGTAATGTGTGTGACAACCTGGGGCTCCGTTCTTGACTGCAGAATTCTTTCTTGAAGGCCTCTGTTGGTGAAATGGAGTGGCGGATAGTGGCCGCAGAAGAAGTGGGCCGCTGGGCCGGTGCTGGCCACTCGAGCTCCACTGCCACAAGGAGAGACAGTGGAAAAAATAAGACACCCCCTGAAAATAAGACCTAATGCTTCTTTTGGAGGCAAAAAAAATAAAAATAATATCAGGTCTTATTTTCGGGGAACATGGTAGCACCTTGAATTGCACCTGGAAGCAGACTAGTAACCAATGCAACTCCTGCAAAAAAGTTGACACATGTGCAAATCTGGGCTTGTGAAAAACTCTGAGGGTCATTGTATTTTCACCAACTGAAGCTTTTGAATACTTCAGAAACAGCCTCTTGAATATGCAAATATGCAATCAATTCCATTTGCATTGATATATTTCTCCCATACATCTCAAGCAAATGTACAACTTATTTAGATACTCCCATTGTGCTAATACACACAAATCTACATATTCCAATTTATAATGCTTAACTCATGTGCATGGATCAGAGATATTCTCAAATATATATCAGGACAGCACAGGCAGGGAATCATAGCAAGACATTTTGAGATTGTGGTACCCTTAATAGATGATTCCACTAATGCCATCTCCAGAATATATTTTTGAAGAATGAACAAGAAGCACAATTCTCTTCATAAATGTAAATTAACACAGTCCTTTTATCCATTATATGCACCATCAAAAATAGATGATGAGGGTCATTCCTAGTGAAGACCTGATTCAAAGAAAATGCTTTCTTTTTTTCTCTCTCCTGCTTTCCTTCCCAAAATTTCTAATATAAAATAAGATTGTTGCTCTTATAGTTTTCTTCAATCAAACAATATTCTAATCTGGAGTTTTTCCTAGATTGGTTTAAAGAAAATATCCTCCCTCCCTCCCTTCCTCTCTCTTTCCCTCTTTACATTCACAGTATCTCTTAAAAATTTCATTTATTGCATGTTATCCAAAAATTTCCATCACATGTAAAGGCAGTTGACATAGTTTTTCTAATACAAATAAACATAAACTAAAGCAGTTTTTTCATTTTTTTAATTAGCTGATGAATTTAATCTGATACTAAAATGGCATGAAGTCCAGCAAGGGTGAAGTATCCAAATTAGCTCTTAGAGGATTATATTGATGAAATTCTTTTACATTCCTAATGTAAGACACTGATACATCTTTTTGTATCAGAAGAATCAGAATTGTATTATCATAATTACCAAAGTTCCAATTACTCAGTAGGATTTTTATAGAAAGCAGAATGTAGCCTTCTTTTCAATGCATATTGATTAATGCAACTGTTTCAGCTATTTTTTTAAAAAATAAAAATATTTCAAATACAAAACAAATATGAAACAATGGAGCATAAATGAACGCATTAATGCCAATCACTACATTTATCTGAATGCATCATTTTAAAAACTTATCTTAAATTTGAAATGGCTTTTTCCTCCTCTGCCCCTCTTCCAAAAGGAGTTATGAAAAAAATGTACAGAATAATAAAAAATCTTGAGCAATACCCAGCATTCTTACCTTGGCAAACTGACATTCTGGAAATTCTCCCCCAACAGTGTTTTTATGCAAGAATTAATGCGTACAAATTAAAAACAATTGCCTAAAATAATGTATCTCATTGATAAAATTAATTGAACCACTATCTGCACACACACATTTTCCTTCTCTCTCTCTCTCTTTTACAGATGGCTCATGCATATACATATTTTCCTTCTTCCTTCCAGGGAAACAGCAAAAAAGAAAGACGAGGAGACAGAGGAAACCAATATAGCCTGGGATGGAAAACAGAAAAGCCAATGGAAGGGGAAAGAAGAAGAAGAAAAAGTGTATTTATATTTTACATAAAAGGTTAAATTCACCAGCAAGTCTCCCAAACAGCTAGTTCTCATTTCAACAGCTTTTCTATCATTATCAGTAATACAAGAAAATGAGCTGACCTATTCTCCACTCTAAAATTAATAGGTGTTGTGTGTATGGAGGGGAGAGGGATACACTAATTTTTCTATTGAAATTTTTTATTAATTTTTTTTTAATTACGGTAAATGTTTTTTAAATTACTGGATTTTTTTCCTCTCCTAATCACTAAGTTCCTTTCACTGTTCTGAACAGACCAGAACAAGAGATCTATGAAAAATGCAATGTCTCCAACAGTATGGGAAGCCAACTATAGTTCCACAGCTGAAGAGCAATATTCAGTAGTGCTAGTAGCAATTGTAGTCAACTGATTCTGCAGCTGGTGTCCTGGCCACCATCACATGATTTGTTTCCCATTCCTTTGCAAAGCCAGGGGCTTTTGAATGTGCAGTGAATTCCGATTTGATAATGGTCTTTCCAATCCATTCATTTGTTTCCAGCATTTCAATCTTCAAAAGAGGAACACAAATCATGACTGGGCCTCTCACAGGGATTAACATTATCATAGGAAACAAGCAGTGGAATTTACATTTCTTGTTACACTGAAAAAGTTTGCTGGGGTTGGAAGCGGAAGGAGAATGAGCAATCTATCTTTTGATAGAGTATGCCCCTGCCCAATTTAAAGAATTTCTTCTCCAAGTGGAAGAAAATATGTATGCCGGGGATGAAAGATTTTGGCCTGGAATTATAGTATAGTATAATAAACTAATCACTTTTGTGCATCTTAATGGAGATTTCAAAAATCAGTAAGATGAAAACCTATACATGCTGGAATATTTAGAACATCAGGTAATGACAATCATAGAGAAGGAACACATAGTTGCCTAATATGATATAGCCATAATGTGTAAAAAGACTGAGTGAAGCATCTGTCAGCTGAAAGCAGAAATTCTCCATTGAGTTAGTGTAAAAAAATCCCAGCCTCAAAGTGAAAACACTGAGAGGTGATCAAAAGTAAGGGACAGAATAGACAGAATAAAAATGTGGAACTAGGAGTGCTCAAGCCAGCCATCCTTTACCTTTTACGTTTAAAAAAAAAAGTTAAACCATAATATAAATGTAGATTCTTCTTGTCATGGACTTGTTAAGTTCTCAAAGCCATTGTAAGTGAAAGGAGGTAGACTGGGAAAGCATGTGACTCTTTGTTGCAAGCAGGCAATTTGGTTGATCTCACATTTCCCTGCATCTTCATCATCTCTGAAGTAGATGCTGTCAAGGGAGCTGCTAGAAGGATCAACATCGAAATAGTTATAGGGCCGAAGTAAAAAGCCCACCCCATTGCCAACTGTCACTGTAGTGGGAATGTCCTCAGCATGTGGCACATGTAAAAATCCAACTGAGATCCAGGCCACAAGATCCTGGGAAAAGAAAAATTAGCAAGAATTAGCAAGATTAATGATTAGCAAACCCCCCATTTGGCCATGACACTTTTCTGATAATATAGAATGCAGTTATATTTCATGGAGCTACATCCTTTGTAAATGATGTTCTTCTTGAAAACCGGCTGCATGTAAATGAAGCTCAATTCATATTGTTTGTTGAGATGGTCTGCATCCAGATTGTAATTCATTCATGCATCAGACATGCAAGTGCACTGTCAACAGAACAATATTGTAAGATTTTGTGTTATTTTTCTTCATTTCCTCTACTGTATATGTTAAGTCCTGATAGCGGTGGCGAATGAAGATCACACAGGGTATTCTCAACAGCTCTTTATTCCTCCTTCTGCTTGCTCTCAATAACAATGAGGCTCGCAGGCCTCCTTTCTTAAAGACTGGATCCCCGGCAAAAAGGCAACAACAGAGCGGCGTGCTTTCGCGCCTCGCGTGTGCGCACTACGCTGGCGCCACTCAGTCTGGTCCCGGGCAGCTTGCAGAAGCCCGGGACCTCAGCAACATCCCGAGCCTGCATTTGCAGGCTCAGGACACAACACCCCTTCCCCCTAGATAGAACTTCTTTTTCTGTACACATGTGCGACCTCTATATGGAATGTGGTATGTGTTTCCACTAAGCAAATGCATGGACTGTGGAATGTGGATGTGTTCTTACACCACACCCGTTTCCGTGCTATCATTTTGGGAATAAATGCAGCTTCAGTCCCAAGATAACACTGCCATTTGTTTATGGCCTTTATACTGGGTCTTCCCGGAATTTGACAGCAACTTCACAAACTCCCTAAGATGTTTTGGGGGGTATCTAACCCGTTGCAACCTTCTCGGACCTGGGGAGCACTCTTGGCTTCCTTGCTCCCCTCCCAAGTTGGGTATACCCACTCTTTGCTGCCCCATGTTTCCAGGTGACACTGGTTCTGTTGCCTGACCTGCTTGCTTGCCCACCGGGCTCGGCAGGCCAGGACTTTGCTCCATTTCTAACCCAGTTGACCTGCCCATCTGCTGGCTGGCTGGCCCCTCTAAGTCCAAACCAGCATCCCTTGTCGGAGTGGTATTTCCCTTTGGTGACTCCCTGGCTGGAGTAATTGTAGGTGTGTGGGCCATCTCCCTTTCCAATGAATTCCTGTGGGTAACACTTGCGGAAGCTTGGGATAGACCTTCCCCGGCTTCCTCAACAGTCAGTGACTGACGATATTGATCCCCATGATGCGCAATATTGTCCTCCTCCCCCCCCAGAGCAGAGTCAGGAGCGGCAGAAGCCGAGTCCAGTCTTGTACGCAGCTGATCTATATGCCGCCGAAGGACGCGGCCGTCATTCACAGACACCTCATAGGACAAAGGTCCAGAGACCTTGCAGACCACAGCTGGAATCCAAAGATGACCGGGCCCATAGTTCCGAGTCCAGACCGGAGCACCCACTTGCAAACACCTAGGTGCCCGTGGCTGCGATGCCTGAGATGCCACTCGATCAGGGTGCAGTCTGTCTAGCTTACTTATGAGCCTGCGGCCCCAATGGAGTTCAGCCGGGCTCTTACCCGTGGATGTGCAAGGTGTGGTGCGATGTGCAAGGAGAAAGTCTGCTAACCTGTGATGCCAGTTACCGTAAGTCAACTTCTTGAGGGCATCCTTGGTGATGCGCACCATACGCTCTGCCATTCCGTTTGTGGAGGGGTGGAAAGGAGCCGAAGTCGCATGGCAGATCAGGTTGGCTTGAAGAAAACCCTGGAACTCAGAAGAAGTGAATTGAGGACCGTTGTCAGAAATCAGAACATCTGGAAGGCCATGTGCACCAAAAATGCCTCTCAGCACCTGGATTGTCCTGGCAGTAGTAGTGGAAGAAACAGGAGCAACCTCTAGCCACTTGGAATGGCTATCAACAACAACCAAAAAGAATTGCCCCTGAAAGGGCCCAGCGTAATCTACGTGCACCCGGGACCATGGGGAATGAGTTTCTTCCCACCTATGAACTGGGGCCTGAGGCATTTCTGGCCGTGACTGCTGGCACAACTGACACCCGTGCACCTGAGCCTTGATAGCCTTATCCAGCCCAGGCCACCAAAGATGGCTGCGCGTAAGTGCTTTCATCCGGACAATACCAGGGTGTCCCTCGTGTAAAGAAACTAAGATTCTAGGCCTCAATGAAGCTGGGATAACTACCCTGCTACCCCATAATAGGCAACCCTTAAAAGTGGACAACTCGTGCTTCTTGAGCGAGAAGCTTTGGAACTCCGTACCTGGACTCCTGTCTGGCCACCCTGACAGCACCCATGACAGCACACGTGTAAGGGTGTGATCTGTGGCAGTTTCAGCAGCCACATCCCTGGCATTGAGGGGAGATTCAGGCAACTCCTGAATGGAGAGGATATTGATGGCAGGAGCAGGGTCTGCTTCTACCAGTTTTAGGGGTAGTCTGCTTAGGCCATCAGCGTGGCCCATTTCCTTACCTGGTTTGTGAACTAAAGTATAATCATATGCTGACAGGAATATGGACCACCTCAGCATTCTAGGAGATATGATATGAGGAGTTTTTTTAGTTGTTGTAAACAAACCCAGCAAAGGTTTATGGTCAGTATAGACCGTGAAATGGCGGCCATATAAGAAGTCATGAATTTTCTTAATTCCAGCCACCATGGCCAGTGCTTCTCCGTCAGAGTCCTAGAGTAATATGCCACAGGAACCTGTGTACCATCAGCTCTCAAGTGGCTAAGTACAGCTCCCACCCCATAAGGAGATGCATCACAGGCAATACAGACAGGCAATTGCTCATTGAAATGTGCAAGCACGGCATTAGACGTGAGCAAAGCCTTGACCTCATTGAAACTTCTTTCATGGACTTTAGTCCACTGCCAATATGCCTGCTTGTCTAAGAGCCTATGTAATAGTTCTGCTACTGCAGCCTTATGCGGAAGAAATGCATTGTAAAAGTTCAATAGGCCCAAGAAAGCTTGCAGCTCACTTTTAGACTTGGGGCTTGGGGTCTGCTGTATAGCTTGCAACTTAGATTCAGCAGGGTGAATGCCTTGAGCATCTATCCTGAATCCTAGGAAGTCAGTAGAATTGACTCCAATCTTACACTTGTCCTTCTTCAACTTAAGGCCTGCTCTTTGAAAATGGAGCAAAACAGCCCTCAACTGTTCTGCTAAGTTTTGTGACGACACCCCAGCAATAAGGACATCATCAAAGTAGGGGCAGACTCCAGGAATACCCCTAAGTGTGCTCTCCATGACACTTTGGAATATACCAGGGGCTACATTTACCCCAAATTGCAGTCTCTTGACCTTAAATGCACCCCTATGCGTTACAATGGTTTGTGCTTCAGCAGCAGCTTCATCCACAGGCAATTGTTCGTATGCCTGTGGCAGATCTAAGTTTGCAAAAACTCGTCTCCCTTTGAGGGGGGCCAAAATATGGCTGACTACTGGTACTGGATACGTGTGCTGTTGCAGCGCCTTGTTTAGTGTGCATTTGTAATCTGCACAAATACGTATGTCCCCATTAGCCTTTAGAGGCGTTACTATGGGGGTTTCCCATGGACTTGAATCTATAGGTTCTAAAATGCCTTGCTGGAGCAATTTATCCAACTCAGCATCAATCTTGCCCTTGAGAGCGAAGGGCACCCTCCTAGTCTTAACTCTGATGGGTGTGATTGTTGAGTCTAATCTTAACGAAACTGGAGGCCCCCTGTATAACCCAAGCTTTGGACTAAACACATCTGCAAACTCCTCGCAGACTTCTGCTAGGCCCAGCGTTTGCAATTGGTGCAGTCCAGTAACCTGGATCCCCAAGGCCTCAAACCAATTGAGTCCTATCAGACTCGTGCGTTCACCCCCAACAACCAACACATCTAACGGGCCTTCAAACTCCTTATATTGTACCTTCAGGGTGGCCTCCCCCTTAATGCACACCTTGGAATTTTGGAAATCTGTTAATATTATATTGGATGGCCTGAGTTTGGTTTGCACCCCACTGCTGTTGCAAACCTTTCTAAATGTGTTAAGAGAAATAATGGAAAGAGCGGACCCAGTGTCCAACTCCATAGATAAAGGGACCCCTTGCAATTTAATCTTAAGTGACAATTTTTTCTTTAGGGGTTTGTGTGTGCCTGTCCTACAAATACTCCTGCGCGATGCACAGAAGCCCACCCTATTTTGGCTGGGGACCCTGGTACCTTTCAGACGCAATTCTTCTTGGGGTTGTACCTTCTGGTGACCCAAACAGATGGCTGCTATGTGGCCTTGCTTGCCACATGCTCTGCAGATGGCGGAATGGAACCTGCAGTCTGCTCTCTTATGGCGTCCTCCACACCCGAAGCATTTGGGCGCTGCTGGAACCTTTTCTTTTCCTTCCTTCTGCCTTCTTTCTGCCGTCTGGTAAAGCTGATCCACCTCTTCTTCAGGGTCTTCTTCCGATTCTTCTTGGACGCCCTCATGGTGAATGGTGGCTGTCTCCGGATTGCCTCTGACTGGCCGCATGCTCTTGACTGCTCCACTTGCTGCTTCCTCAACCGTTACTTCTCTCAGAGCATCTTGAAATGAAATATCTTCTTTTGCAAAGATCTTTTGCTGCAAGTCTCTGTTTCTTAACCCACATACAAAACGATCCCTCAGCCATTCTTCCAAATCTTTGAACTGACACGGCCTTGCTGCTCATCTCAAGGCTGCAATGAACTCCTTAGCTGATTCGCCTGCCCTCTGGTCCCTTTGCTCAAATGTGTGTCTCCACGCAGTAACAGACAACTTGGGTTGGAAATGTTCTTTCAATAGCTTCTTTAAATCTGTGTACGTTACAGACTCTAGAGAGGCAGGGGCTACCAGATTTTCTACAATTTCAAACGCGTCCTGTCCACAAACACACAACAGGGTTGCAGCTTTCAAGCCGTCTTCTCTGATCTGATTTACCCTGAAGTAATTCTCTACTCTTGCAACATAAGACTCCCATCTCTCTGGGTGTGAAATATCGAATTCAGCTAAACGACCTCTCTTCGCCATCCTTGCTTCCTTGGGAAGGGGTCTATCAGCCAAAGCTTACCTCCAGCAATGCTGTACTGGCAGGTTAGAATGCTGAGTTTAACGCCATCTTCCCTTCTTCAGGACTCCTTGGGTAAGTTACAGCTGTTCTTCTTTGAAGCCTTGTAATCATCCCACCTTCGTCGCCAGTGTTAAGTCCTGATAGTGGTGGCGAATGAAGATCACACAGGGTATTCTCAACAGCTCTTTATTCCTCCTTCTGCTTGCTCTCAATAACAATGAGGCTCGCAGGCCTCCTTTCTTAAAGACCGGATCCCCGGGCAAAAAGGCAACAACGGAGCGGCGCGCTTTCGCGCCTTGCGCGTGCACGCTACACTGGCACCACTCAGTCTGGTCCCGGGCAGCTTGCAGAAGCCCGGGACCTCAGCAACGTCCCGAGCCTGCGTTTGCAGGCTCAGGACACCACAGTATACATCTTAAAATTATTTGATTCCTTTCTTGATTACTTGCATTACTTTTCCATCTATTTAGCTCAACTTTTGGTTCTCATTTGCAAATTGTGCAAATTTCAATTTTTTTAAAAGAAGTTTTTTGTCTTGAATGGCTTTTCTGATCACACAGAACTCTCTCTCTCTCTCTCTCTCTCTCTCTCTCTCTCTCTCTCTCTCTCTCTCTCTCTCTCTCTGTGTGTGTGTGTGTGTGTGTGAAAAGCTGCAGGATGGTCAGTGTAGAATCACCCCTTTGCCTACAGAGGGGACAAGGCTTAGCCTTAGATTGTGACATTGTGCCTGCCATCTTCCAAATTTGGCTGAGCTTTGAAGATGTTCCTAGGTCTCACATTAAGCAAATTCTTCAGTGGAGTACCACCTTTCCTAGTCTGGGATATATCTACTAGCTGGACAACTGTTATTACAGTTTTGAATAACCTCAAAGCATTCTGAAGGAATGTAACCAATTTTCCTTTTGAATTTATTCTTTAATTTTCCTTTTCTAGTCAAATGAGCTTTTCTGCATACATCAATACCTCTCCCTCTCCCTCTCCCTCCCTCCCTCCCTCCCTCCCTCTCTCTCTCTCTCTCTCCATATCTTATAATGTTGCTTTCATCTGAATCCTGATCCATATTTGTGGCAGCTTTAGGATAACCCTGGCTTTTCCAATGCTAAAATAGGGGCTGTTTCTTAGTCTGACCCATATGTTTTGATCATCTTTCAACTACCTCTCAAGACTCTCTTCTCTTGAAAATTTGTTAGTGCTGATGTATAGCAGACTTCTTCTTGTTCATGTTTCAGCTCCTCCTCCATGTAAAGCAAGGCTGGGTCATCTCAGTACTTACCTCATTGACTATGGTCTCATTGTCTATGAAGTTTGCAAAGGTCACCAGGGGATCCCATGGATCATTCTGGTTATAGATGCAGGTGCTTGTCAATTCTTCCTCTTTTTGCTTAGTGACAGACAACTTGTACCTAAAGTGGACAGAAAATAGGGAAAATGAGAAAGAAAATGGGAGAAGAAAAAACACCAAGGTTTTATTGTGTTCCTGAGCAGTGCAAACTACTTCTCTAATTTCTTTAATTCTTTTAAAAGTATAATACAATGATGAGTCTATGACCAGATGATTCTGGTTATAGATTTTGTTAATTCAATTGTATTGCTTTTTAAAGTTTTAAGTTTTTAAAAATATATTTGGATTGTTTTTCTTTAGTTTTTAAATTGTTAAGCTATCAGAGTCATGCAGCTGATCAATATACATCAGACAAATGAATAACTGCAGAACCTTTTCTCCTGGCATCTTCCTTTAATTTAAACAAAATGCTATTTATCTAAAAGACAAACATAAGATGATTATAGGGACCTACCTGCCCCAGCTGATGGCCTTCTCCATGGAGCTACTTTGTGGTAAGTGCTTGCCTGCAAAGCTGATGATCTGGATGCGATAGCTCTGTTTGTGGCCCCACTGGTTTTCATTGTTAGAACTGAAAAGCAGGTACCGTGGGATTTTACCATCAAGTGGGAAAGCAGCTTTTTCTTCCGTATCCAGGACTTGCTGGGTGAGGATTGGTCGCTGGATTGTGTGCTCTGTGCTCCAAGGGGCCTGCACAGATTCATAGGCCATGTCAAGGTCCACCAAAGAGTTCTTGACTCCTAACAATCAAAAAGAATAAGAGAAACACTTCCTGTTTGGACTCCTGCCTAAGGATACACCTACTTAGAAACAATGGATTAAACACCAAAGTCAGTTTGAGACTGTGGACAGAATGGCTTATGTTATATTTGGGGGAGTTTCTCACAGATTCATCATTCAATTATTATTTTTCAGCATCTGTGGCTCAACTATACATTAGGAACAATAGAAGCCTATTCAGAGAATTGTTATAATATCTTACATTACATTATAGATCTCCTTCTTCCTTGCAAACAAAAGTCAATCAATACAATCTTTGTCACAGGCACCAGTTCTATTTGGAAGATAACATGAGAGATCTTTTCAGAGGCTGCTTTGAAATTCCCTTCCCCCAATGAAGATAAAACTGAGATTTATTGGGGTTTTTTGTGGTCTAACATAATAAAATATTATATGTGAAATAATTATTTGTATTGTACAATCTTTTTGTTCTTATTTTCATAATAACTCCCATATGATATAGATTGACTTCAGTTGGTGGGATCCAGGTGAGGAAAATAAATTATATCAGTGATACAAAATGCTTCCTGAGTAACACGGCAGGATATGTTGTTATATTTATTATTCCATGGCTGGTTACATATGTACAAATGTGTTTAAATTGCCATAGGTTCTAACAACTTGAAGTATAATAATAAACAGGATTTTGGTTTGGTTCATATTTTAAGGAAATATATTATTTACCATAATCCAAAATCATACAAAAAGTGTGTTACCAGGAAAAGTGCATACAGTATTATGCTTATTAATAAAAAGCAAGATATAAAAGTGCACTCACTTGGAGAAAATGGCTTGCAAAAATCTGCACAATAAAACTGTATTCACATGGTTTATTAGCAGGATGGTCACTGTAATGTATTGAGTTAAAATCTGAGAATTGAGATGCTGAGAACTTTGAAAAACGGTTAGCAGGCCACATGGCCAACAAGCCAGACTTTCTGTCTGCAGATTACTTATTATGCATTTAAGCGGGAGAATACTGTGTTCCTATTGGCTGCCACCTTTAGACTGAGTTTTAAGTATGGGTGGAGCATTGGTTGTTAGTTTCTGTTTTGATTTTAAAAATAAAGAAAGTTGTTCTTCACCTACTGCCTCTTCAATGCCGCATCGAACAGAAAACAACACTGGCGACGAAGGTGGGATCATGCTGCCTCACCACAAAGAGCTGAGTCATTATGGGGGTTAGGCCTAGCAGATGCTTGGTCGGAACAGTGTTCCCCCCCTCACTCTATCCTACCAGTATGGAAACGCTGGAGGAGAGTGCTTCCAAAGATCCGCCCTGGAAGTCCCATGGAAGTCTGCACAGCACGAGGCATTGAGAGGCCCGCGAAAAACTCACCATGGCTAAGATCGGAAAACTCTCCAAATTCGACGTCGCTCATCCAGAGAGGTGGAGCTCCTACATCGTGATAGTTGAAAACTACCTGCAGGTTAACCAAGTGTGAGACGATGGTTTGAAGGCTGCGACACTGCTGTGTGTGTGCGGTCAGGCGACATTTGAAATCGCCAAGAACTTGGTTGCAGCATCTCCATTCAAGTCCATTGTGTACTCAGAACTTAAGAAAATGCTCAAAGAACACTTTGAGCCCAAGCTATCGGTCATAGCCTGGTGGCACGCTTTCAAACAGCAAGACCAAGATCCCGGCGAGTCTGCCACCGACTTCATAGCCGCTCTTTATCAAGCGGCCCGACCTTGCGAATTCAAAGACCTCGAAGAAAGACTGAAGGACCGTTTAGTTTTTGTGGTTTAAGGAGTTGGGAGCTTCAACTCCTTAAAGATATTCGCGAAAGAGACTATCTCTTTTCAAGATGCATTGCGAGAGATCATGGCCGAAGAAGCAGCTGGAGAAGCCATCAAGGCCTTATGGCTCTCCAAGAGCTCTCTTTGCATGGCCATCCACCAAGAGGACACCGAGAGAGTTGGAGACTCCGAATCGGACCACGAAGTTGATCAGTTACAGCAACCTCCTGAAAGAAGGCCCCAACGACCAACCAACAAGACAATTCCCTTCTCTCGATGTGTCGGGTGTGGAGGCCGACACAAACGGGCGGAATGCCGATTCTGCACAGCAACCTGCCGGGTGTGTGGCAAGCAAGGCCACATCGCCGCTGTTTGTAGGGATTGCAGGAAAGAACACTCATCAGAAGAGTTGCCTCGGAAAGGTACAGGGGTTCCCGGACAAAACAGGGTAGGCTATTGCGCTAGTAGAAGGAACGTGTTTAGGACAGGTGCCCATCGCCCACTCAAGGAGAAGTTGCATCTCAGAGTCAAGTTGCAAGGGGTTCCTTGTGACATGGAGTTGGACATGGGGTCAGCTTTATCAATAATTTCCCAGCAAATTTGTAGTCATAGCGGCAAGCGAGTTAAACTCAGGCCATCGAACCTCGTTCTAACCTATTTCCAAAACTCCCGTGTAACAGTCAAGGGAGAGGCCACACTTGGGGTGCAGTTCAGGAATTTTGAGGGTCCCCTGGAAGTCATAGTAGTTGAGGGCAACCGCACTAGCCTCATCGGACTTGATTGGTTTGATGCATTGGGAATTCAAGTGAATGGGTTAAATAGCTTGCAGACGTCGAGCCTCTTGGCGGTTTGTAAGGAGTTTGCTGATGTTTTCAGCCCAGAGTTAGGAGAGTACAAAGGCCCCCCAATCGCTCTCCGACTTGACTCTACAATAGCACCAATAAGGATAAAGCCTCGTCGGGTGCCTTTCGCCCTCAAGCAAAGAATCAATGCAGAGTTGGATAAGCTGTTGATACAAGGCATTTTAGAGCTGGTGGATAGCAGTCCATGGGAAACTCCCATAGTTACGCCACTTAAGGCCAATGGTGAGGTTTGCATTTGTGCCAACTATAAATGTACGCTAAATAAAGCCCTCCAGCAGCACTCGTACCCGGTGCCTGTAGTCAGCCACATTTTGGCATCTCTACAGTGAGGTCGCATTTTCACCAAATTAGATTTGGCCCAGGCCTACCAGCAGTTGCCGGTGGACGATGCCACAGCTGAGGCCCAGACTATAGTAGCCCACAGGGGAGCTTTCAAAGTGCAGCGGTTACAGTTCGGGGTTAGTATAGCCCCGGGCATTTTTCAGAGCATAATGGAGCGCACGCTCCGAAACATTCCAGGTGTGTGCCCGTATTTTGATGATGTCCTCATAGCCGGGGAATCAGTCGAAATCCTAACTGACAGACTCAGGGCAGTCTTGCAGCATTTCCGCGAAACGGGACTGAAGCTAAAGCAAGAAAAATGTAAAATTGGGGTTACTTCTATAGAGTTCCTCAGTTTTTCTATAGATGCCGAAGGCATTCATCCTGCTGAATCCAAGCTCAAAGCAATTCAGCAGGCACCCAGTCCCAAGACAAAAGAAAAACTTCAGGCCTTTTTGGGACTCTTTAATTTTTATCACGCCTTCCTTCCCCACAAAGCCGCAGTGGCAGAGCCGTTACACTGGCTCTTGGACAAGAATGCTCAGTGGAAGTGGACGAGCATCCATGAGTGGAGTTTTGCAGCAGTTAAATCACTGTTGTCATCAAATGCAGTGTTGACCCATTTTAATGAGCAGCTGCCAATTAGCATTGCGTGTGATGCATCCCCGTACGGTGTACGGGATCGAAGCTGTGTTAAGCCTCTTAAGGCTGACGGGACACAAGTTCCCATAGCCTATTATTCTAGAACCCTCTCTTCAGCGGAACACAATTACGCACAAATTGATAGGGAGGCATTGACCATCGTGGCGGGTATAAAAATGTTCCATGACTATTTGTATGGCTGCCATTTCACAGTCTTCACAGACCATAAGCCACTTCTGGAGTTGTTCACTATGAACAAGCAAACACCCTAGATTATTTCTCCTAGGATGTTGAGGTGGTCAATATTCCTGTCCGCTTATAGTTATTGTCTGATTCATAAACCAGGCAAAGAAATGGGCCATGCAGACGGCCTTAGTAGGTTACCCCTACCACACTTAGAGCCGGACCCCGCTCCAGCTAACCACATCCTGGCTATCCAGGATTTGCCGGAGTCTCCCCTTAACACAGGGGATGTAGCTGCTGAGACAGCTTCAGACAACACGCTGAGTCGTGTGTTGAACTGTGTGCTCAAAGGATGGCCGTAAACGTGCCCAGGGCCTAACTTTCAGAGTTTTTGGAGAAGGAAGAACAAGTTATCCGCTCATAAGGGTTGCATTTTGTGGGGCAGTCGGGTCGTAATCCCGACATCACTGATGGCTGGAATCCTTGAATCTCTGCATGAGGGACATCCAGGAATAGTTCGGATGAAGGCACTCACGCAAAGCTACCTTTGGTGGCCTGGGCTCGATAAAGATATTGAGGCCCAGGTCCAAAGCTGCATTATTTGCCAGCAGTCAAGGTCAGAAATGCCACATGCCCTGGTCCACAGATGGCTAATATGATTAGGCACGCCATCTCGGCTCCTTTTCACCTGGCCTCTAACGGCCAAGCGGAACACATGGTCAGAAAGACCAAGGAATCCTTGAAGAGGATTGCAACTGGTAACTGGCACCATAGGCTGGCAGATTTCTTACTCTGCCAACACACAACACTCTGCACTTCTACGGGAAGAAGCCCAGCAGAATTAAGATGGGGGCAGTGCTTGATCACAAAGCTGGATCACTTACATCCAGACAGGGTTGCTTCACAAGCATAGCAGCAAAAGGCCCCAAGGCACTTGCAAGTTGGCAACCCGGTGTGGGCACGAAACTATGGGCAAGGAGCACTGTGGGTGGTAGCTGTGGTTGATAAGATGTCAGGGCTGCTCTCATATGAAGTGGTCCTGGAAGACGGTCATGTGCTTCGCAGGCACATTGACCAGCTGCGACGGAAGCTAGCAACCCAGCTGTTAGCTCATGACTCTGTTCAGGGGGAGGGGGAATACGATTGTGATCATGCATCCGAGTCCCCAAGCGAGGGCGAGACTTTTCGATTGCCGAACGGGGGGTTTGCAAACAGTGAGTCTGCCCCTAACTCAGGCACTTTGGCTACGGGACAATGCTGTCAATCGGCTCCACATGTTGGTCCGATGGGCTCTACTCCACTGCGGGACACTGGCTCAGGTCTACCAGGACAGACCAGCCACAGAGAGATGGACCCAAGCTCGGGTCTACCTGGTCAGACTGGCCTCCAAGAATCGGCTCTACCCGTGACGAACGGACACACAACCCTGGTCTACCAAGCTTGGCAGGCGAGCTTCTAGACCGGGAGCTAACGGCAGCTCTGAGACATTCAGAGCGGGCAAAAGGGCCACCGAAGTACTTAAATGACTACATAAGATTTCTGTCATTGTAAAATTGAATGCTTATGTATTTTTGCCATTGGAACAGTGTAATATTTATGCACAAAGATATGCCATTTTGCCATTGGAACAATTGTAATTTTTTTGCACAAACAGAAAAAGGTTTGGTAAGTGTAAATGATCTAGAGGGAAGGGGTATAATGTATTGAGTTAAAATCTGAGAATTGAGATGCTGAGAACTGTGAAAAACAGTTAGCAGGCTACATAGCCAACAAGCCAGACTTTCTGTTTGCAGATTACTTATTATGCATTTCAGCGGGAGAATATTGTGTTCCTATTGGCTGCCGCTTTTAGGCTGAGTTTATAAGTATGGGTGGAGCATTGATTGTTAGTTTCTGTTTTGACTTTAAAAATAAAGAGAGTTGTTCTTCACCTACTGCCTCTTCAATGCTGCATCGAACAGAAAACTTAACAGTCACAATTTTGAACATTTTGTTTTGAAAACTACAAACTTACACAAATGGATTGCAATGAGTTCAAGTATTGAAAAATGCAAAATTAAGCAAAATGAAATTTATTGTCCTTGATTTAAAAGAGAACACTAGCCAGGCTTTGCCAGGAAACTTTTGCCAGTTTATAGTTAATCATACATAGAGATCTCTGGAATTGATCAGTGTTATTTTCTGCACAGAGTGAGAAAGAGATGAGATGTACCTTCCCAAGTACATTCTACTCAAGGGAAAAGGTAAAACTTTCTCAGATTTAAAGAATAATCTGCATATTAGTTCTGCCTCTTCTTTCAAGAAGGGAACTATAGTTGAAATGCAGCTTTTGGAGAGAAAAGACTTTCCTGTTTACAGGATGAAACCAATTATGCTAATTATGCACTATCTTCTGCACTATCTTCTCTTCATGGAATCCAGTTGTTAAAATTAGCTCTCTGTTGCTTATCTAAAGTTCACATATTTTGCTGGCCCAGAGCAACTCCTTAGGACTGAATGACAAAAGCCATTGAATACCAAATCCATTGCAGCTTCTTGGCACATGCATGCGGAAGGACATCCAAACGTAGAACGTGGGAGAAAATTCATGTGGTGATGGTGGTGGAAGCATTTGTCATACATACAGGGATGCACAATTGTTTTCAGGCTCAGGACCATGCTGGGCTTTATCTTCTGGAGCCTTCACTCCAAAGAAATATGCAGAACCAAGACAAAAGAAACTTGACACAAATTAAACTTGACTTCATTGCATTTTCATTTAAATATAAACATAATTTACAGAAGATTAGAGTACAAGCAGTTAATATTATTACATCCCAAGCACTGAATAATGCATCATTTCTTCACAATAAACATTTACAACTTCTGAGGCCATAATTAAGGCTTTCAGACAAAGACATCTGGCCCTGCAGCTGAGGTATAAAAACAATTGCTGTAGAAAGAAATCCACATATTTGATAATCTTCTGGAGTCTTATCTGCTTTTATGACAAAGGCATATCCACAGGCCCCAGATTCACAAACTGTTACTCTCTCTTGCCTAATTCTTAGCATATCAACATTCCAGGTGTCAATATTCAAAGTAAAGATGATATCACCTTATTACAGATAATCCTCAACTTAAAACACAATTGAGCCCAACATTTCTGTTGCCAAGCAAGACAGTTGTTAAGTGAGTTTTGCCCCATTTTATAACTTTTCTTGCCACAGTTGTTAATTGAATCACTGCAGTTGTTAAGTTAGCAATTTGGTTGTTAAGTGAATCTGACTTCACCATTGACTTTGCTTGATAGAAGGTCGTAAAAGGTGATCATGTGACCCTGGGACACTGCAACCCTCATAAATATGAGTCAGTTGCCAAGCATCTGAACTTTGATCACATGACCATTGGGATTCTGCAACAGTCGTTAAGTGTGAAAAACATTCATAAATCACTTGTTTCAGTGCCGTTGTAATTTCAAATAGTCCCTAAAGAAGAAATGGGATATACAGGTAGTCTGTTGTAAGTCGAGGACTACCTGTATTTCACTCTTTCAACTGCAGTCTCTCATAACTTTCTTTGTTCAGGAGCTTAAGATAATATGCATAGAGCCTTTTCCTCCATTTCCCTTTGTTCCTTCCCCCCCCCCCGCCCAAAATAGTCCTCATAGTTTAGGGTGAACTTAGCTTAAGCTTATCCACTTCCAGTTCAACTGATTAACCACTAAACCACACTAGTTCCATGAATGAAAATAATTTGAATTTCTAAATCATACATGATTAGTTATTTCTAGCCTCCATCTACTCACACTAAAACACAGTCATGTATAAGCACACACAGTCTATGTTTGCATTTTAACCCTAAAGTTTAAATATTTATAATGTATTTTTACACACACGTATGCATCTCTCTCTCTCTCTCTCTCTCTCTCTCTCTCTCTCTCTCTCTCTCTCTCTCTCTCTCTCTCTCTCTCTCTCTCTCTCTCTCTCTCTCATCATTTATCTATAGTATCTTCTGTGTGCAAAGTCACAGAAAGCTCAGGATTTATTTGAAGTTCCAAACAAGCCAACCTAGACCTGTAGCAGGAGAAGGCTGACCAAATCACTAGCCCTTATATAACTCTAGTAAGTGTTAATAGAATGGCAGTTTGTGGGAATTAGGGAAATATAAGAACCTACCTTCTACATCCAAGTCAACTTTGTAATTTATCAGATGGTTGTGCATGGTTCCAAGTGTGTACTCCCCAACCTTGTTTCCATACTTAGTCCCACCGTCCATAAAAAATGAAGAGCTGATGTATCCTGTAGCATGGACCTTGACTTCTATGGCACCATTTTGATAGAATACAAAATCCCATACATAATCATAGTTAATGAGGGTAGAAACAGTCCTTAAGACCAAAGCATATTTGGGTAACCCCTCATAGTAAAAAGAGCCTAAATTAGAAAAATGGCGACGCAGAGGGACACCCATGTCATGTTCAAAGATGCAGAAGGAGTTCTTGTTTAGTTTGGGAGTGTCAGAGTCTATTAGATAATGCCGATTCACGTAGGTGGCCATGTAGGGGCAGTCCACACCCTGGACTAGTTCATAAGAAAACTTTCCAATGCCAAGGCTACCATCCATGTATCTGGTCACCATTCCTCCAGGACAATTGGAACCATAAATGGCAAGAGCTTCTTGCAGACTCAACTCATAGACAATCCTCTTATCATTAAATCTGATATTGAAAAGACGTGGCCCTGTGTTCACATTCATCCCAAAGGTAAATTTCCATAGCTGATAGGTAACATGGTTGCCAGTTACAGCGTAGCGCTTTCCTTGGGTCTCAAACTGAAATGGGCCTAGAGGAGCTGCGGGTTCAAATCGCTTCCTGGAAGCATATTCCATCTGCAGCTGACTACTCTTTATTCTTGCCTCCTTCACCTGTCCATTCTTGAACTCTTTTTCCAGATGGGCCATATCCTGAAAATAGTGTCCATTATAGAATACTTTTTTCAGCTTCCATTCAGAGATGTTCAGACTGCTGTGATCCACCAGCATCTCCAAGCCAATAGGATGAATGTAATATCCACTGCCAATCACATTCTGAAAGAGGACAAACCAGGTGGCTCTTTCACCAGATACAAATCCTCTAGGAGCTGTGGTTAGAGTAGCTAAATCAGACCTCTCATAATTGCAGCATATTTTGAGGAAGTTGGAGGTGTTGAAGAGCTTATGGAAAATGAACAAATCAATATCTTTATATTCTCTCTCAGTCACCGGTCTGCTGTGATATGGAACCTTCTTGCCAAATTTCCGCATTGTAATGTCTCGATGGTACATTGGATTTGGAAGTGGACCTACTACAAATTCTGTAATGTTTGGATCTGACTGACTTCCAAAGTATACCACGGCCAATGCCTGCCGGGGTAGCTGTTCCCTTCCACGATCAAGAAAGCCCAGAACTTTGGCTTTAGGCGGGAAGTACACATCCATATAGTAAATGCAATTATCTGATGGTTTTGCATGAAATGCATCTTCCAGGTACACCCCGAGATTCTTCCTGAGATACTTCACCACCTGAGTCATTTCATCAGCTGTCAGATCAGCAAAGACTTCACTTTGTTCTCTGTTGGGCCTCTCAGAAGAAATTGGTAGTTCAGAGTAGACACAGCTGGTGACTTTTTTTCCCTTCATTGTCAGCAAAACACAGACTAGAGCAAAAACTGTAGCCAGAGCTAGCACCAAAACAACAACTAGCACTTTCATGTTCATGTCAGCACAGTAAAGGAAGCAGTGATAGCACACAGCTTGTCTGTGCTTTTCTTACAGGAAAGTGTCTGGATGGGTGGATGGGAGGAAGAAAAATTATTGCTCCATTCAGAGTAAGAGGAGGGACCTGAGCTAAGAATGCCTGTGGGGGCTTTACAAGGGACCATAAAAAGGCAGATTTTGATTTGGTTTCTTTTTCTCTCCCCCCCTTCCCTTCCTCCCACTGTTTCTTCTGTATCTGCGTTGATACTAACCTTATAAGCTGTTCTGGACCAAGGGTGCTGGAGAACAAACTGGGCTTGGGTCCAGAAAGGTTAAAATGAAGATAAGTTAGTGCACAGAAGCTTCCCAAGAGCACTGGGAATGTCCCACTAACTGGGAAGAAGGTTGGCAGAGCCAATTCACATTTAAATATCCAGTCAGACTATTCTAAGCATATTGTGTTCCCATTATTTCCTTGCTTATTCCCAGGAATACAAATCTAATTCTGCCAGTGATCATCTAGTTGCCCTCTATTTATAATCTAGCTGTGCTAGTGTGTTAGAGCTTTTGATTGTGAGACTTAAAAAGTTGATTTGAATAAGACGCTGTGAATTTGAATATAAAATAAGGTATTTTGGCCGGGGGAGCTAAGACATCTAGCCTAGGAATATTTTGACTTGTAGTCCAACTACTAAAATTCATATGTCTATAAGCAGGCATATTATTATTAAATAGGAAATAATTAATATTAATATTCCACATGGCTACAAATATGTTTAGAAGAATAAGAAATTGATATTGCTTATAAGCAATATTAAAATCAGAGTAAGTCTCATGTCAATAATCAGGGTGGTTTAGGCAGACTTTACACTAACCTTTTAAAATTTGTCTTTAAAACCCAGATAAGTTTTGGTGTGGATGGGGTGGCTCCAGGCCTGGTAAGCATTTTGGAGGGGCATGTCAATAATCACAGACTTGAAAGCTAATGTGTTTCATGGTTATATTTTCTCAAGTCTAACTACCTAGCACAAGGATTTGTCATCACAAAATGACTATTTGCTAGGCATTTAAACCTCTTCTTTTAGATTGCTTTTTCTTAGGCTGTATCAGTGCAAAACGTAGCAACATTCAACTCCTATTTCTGAATTCTCGATCTCTGAAATGTTATTTTGAAAAGTACAGAATTTGGATCCTGAAATTCAACAAAAATAAACCCTAGAAGCGATGGCTTTGCAGGTCTAATTGCAAGTATTTATATTCTACTAGAAAAAAAACGAAGTTTTACACACCAATGATACATGTCCCTCTGCCTGAAAGGAAATCAAGGTCCTGAGACTCCATGTTGGTCGCTTGCAAGAAATTCCCTGAAGGTGGAGCTTGTTAGTGCATCTAATAAAAGTTGCGCTACATGGACTCTACCTGAATTCGATGACTTGGCAAATAGGCAAATGGCCTGAGGAAAACAGCAAACCAAAGCAGCAATGCAATTTCGAGGATGTGGCCTGGATGTTGAAGACCAGTGAGTGAGCTAGACCAGAAACCAGTCACAAGGTGAAACTTGCATAGCAGGTAGTGAAATCTACCTAGCCAAACAACAACCAGTTAAGAGCACAGGCGAGGTGAAAAATAAAGCATGGGGCTATTTTAAAAAGGGTCTAGATAGGAGCCTAATTGAAAGTCATATAATACCTGGATCTTGAGTCATCTGCTCAGGTTTCTTGGTGAGTATGTGAGAGCCAAGGAGTGTATGTGTGTGTGTGTATGTATGTGCGTGCGTGCGTGTGTGTGTTTAAAGCACAATCTTGCTACATTATAATAGAAAAAAAATTAGGGGATTAACAGAACATTATTTGTGTGCTGTCTCATCAGTTAGTGAGAACTATTTGACTGTTCCCAATCTTACAAATCAAGTAGCTTAAGGTTGCAGAGTGAAAAATCCCAGAATGTGAGAGTGGTAGAAAATGGGCCACAGATATATTAGAAATGGATATGTTGACTGCTATACCCAGGACTTATTAGATACGGCTTCACATCCACATAGACAATAAATCAAACTACTTGAAAAAGCTTCAATAAGTTGTTCCTATTACCTCAGGTTGCAAAGTTGCAAATTCTTTCTGCTTTGATGGAAAATATATATTCATATATTTATTTCCCATATATCTCCACCCATATATAGAGGTAAATTCCATCTTTTAACAAAAATATAGCAAAGAATGATAACTTAAATGTATGAAGACTTTACAATGGCCACCAAAGGTTAGGGGAAGATTTAGAGTTGCCCATTCTCTAATTCAAAGACAAAAATATGAAGTGTTTAAAAAAGGACTATTCTGGAAGGATCATCTAAGTTTCCATCTATCACAGCCAGCTGGAACACAAAGCTAATCTTTCTCCTAGGTTTGGACAACAGTCACTAAGTATACGGATACAGAACTCTAGGATTAGTCCTAAGTATGTTTACAATTGGGGTATAATTCTAATCTGAAGTTAGTTACCAGTTTTGGAAAACCAGTTTAAATGTCCCAGCGGTTTGTTCTAGGTAGCAGTTCGTAGTTTGAAAAACTGCAATCATGAGTTAGCTTTATTATATGTGCAAAAGATGACATAACACATAATTTATTCATAAATCCTGGTTCATTGATTTTTATTGCCACATAGAAGCTTCCAAGCAATCCCAAGATACAAAACAATAGCAGCTAAACAGGCAGAAAAAAAGTTAGAAATTGGCAAAACAACTAGTATGAGCATCTGGAAGACTAACTGTAGGTTAACAAACCACATCTTAGCATAATGTGTGTTTATTAAAATAAACATTTCTTATAGATTTCTTAACAATGTATCAACAGTGACACCGTGGTCTATCTAGATGCAGTATATTTATCATCATCTGTACTAACTGAAGAACATGCTTGTATCTATGGATAATAGTCAGAGCAACAATAATTATGAATTCTGATAAAGAATCCTGGTCAACTTAATTTCATGACATTTTTAATTTTTTTAATCAGATTCCTAGAGCAAGTGTAGAGAATAAAATATAATGTACTTGTAAATACTATTAAGAAAATCAAAAGTCTTTCCTTTTCTTGGTACTTTTTTCACTTATTATTATTTTTTCTTAATTTTCTCTTTTGAAATTTGTATTTTTATTCTTTTAAAAATTCTCTTTTATTCACACACTCACATATAAAAGTCTACACCCATCTTAAAATACTAGGTTTTTGAGATGTAAAAAAAAAATAAATCAGACCAAGATAAATCACTTCAGCTTCTTTTCTCCCTTTGATATAACACATAAGCTGTACAATTCAATTGAAAAACAAACTAAAATTGTTTAGGAGAAAAATAATAATAAAAAACTTACCACAACATGGTTGCATCTTTATTGAAGCACCTTTAGATTTTATGCCAAATCTGTGAAGGGAGGAGCCCATCAGCATGGCACATCCTGTTCTGGAAATCTTTGCCCACTCTTCCTTGGAAAAGCGCTCCAAGAGAGCACCTCCTGTGCACAGCCCCTCTTCAGATCATCTGTCAGGTTTTCAATTTGATTCAAGTTTCATTCCAAAGTTTCATTCCAAAACTTTGGTTTTCTTCTACTGAAGCCATTCTTTTGTTATGCTAAAGCCTAAGGGTTTTGTGCCAAAACTGACTGATATTTGGAACTGGTCATATTTCCCTTCACCTTGACTAAAGCCATAATTCCAGCTGAAGAAAAGCAATCTCAAAGCATAATGCTGCTGCCACCATGCTTCACTGTGGTGTCTTTTGATGATGGACAGTGTTGTTTTTGCACCAAACATACTTTTTGGAATTATGGTCAAAAAATTCAACCTTGATCTCATCAGACCATAACACAGTTTCTCCCATGCTTTTGTTAGACATGAGGTAGTCGTTTGCAAAATTTAGCCAGGCTTGGATGTTTTCTTTTTTAAGAAAAGGCTTCTGTCTTGCCATTCTACCCCGCAGCCCAGACATGTGAAGAATATGGGACATATTACAGGTGGGAAAAATTCTGAATGATTTATCTTGGTCTGATTTTTTTACACCTCAAAAACTTGGCATTTTAACAAGAGAATGTAGATCTTTTATATCCATGGTAGGTAGGCAGGCAGGCAGGCAGGCAGACAGACAGATAATAGAGCAAATTACAAAAATACAGACCAAACCATTACTTTCAGAATGGGGATTTAATATATTTTACAGATATATTTATTATAATCTTCAAATAAAAAAATAATAGGAAAAGCAGTTGGGTAAAAAAGGTAGAAGAATTTGGCTGATACACATAAAAAGTTGCAAACACAATTTCCAAATGAGTACAATGCCAACAGAGCTAAGATTTAGGTGAAACACAGTCAACAATAAAGGTCTCAAGACTGCTATTTTAAACTCACAGATTTATGCTCAACTATTTCCATTACTGTATTCACTCAAATACAAATAGCAGCATTGACTCAAAATCTGGACAGTATTAGAACTTTGACAGATTTTGGAAACCTTCATAAGTGAAAGGTGGAAGGTTGGGTATGCAAGCAGCTGTTTTAGGGAGGCAAGCAATATGATTAATCTCACAGGAGTTGAAGTCATCCTTGTCAGTGAAGAACACACTATCAGGCGAGTCAATGGAAGGGTCATTGTCAAAATAATTATAAGGTCTTAAAATGAAGCCAACTGCATTTGCAAGTGTCACAGTGTTAGGAATATCCTCAGCATGGGGAATATGTAGAAATCCAGTGGTGATCCAGGCAACCAGGTCCTGGTGAAAGACCATAAAACAGGGAAATCTGATTAAAAAACATGGAAGGGAAATTTTGGAATAGTCACTCAGTCTGAGTCATGCAATTAGGAGCTTAAGAATGGAGCACTCAGCAATACTCCAAGGCACTGCCAATTGCCTCTTACAAAAGGAAGCTTTGAGGAAATTATTCCTGTTTGTTTGTTTCCTGCAGAGGTCCCAGATTGATCTGGCCCATTTTGGAAGTCCACTTTTTTTGTTAGTTTTCCCCATCATATCAAATTTAGTCCCTCTTCTCTCTATTTTGTTTGACTTCACTTTTGGAGAGTGATTGTGCTGATTAGAGAGAATTTTAAGCCCAGTTTCTTTTTAACATCCCACTGAGTATTCATTTCTGCAATTAAATGCAAAAAATGAATAAAACAACAATTGTGACATCATGTTGAGAAACCCAGCCTTTCCTGTTTGTGTTCCAAAGCACTTTTTTTTATCTGCCTCATCTCTGACTGCGCAGATGTTTCGGTAGGAAAAGTACACCAGGCAAGGCTTCTGGAACTGTTGCTAACCCCTTACCTAGCTGTGAACATAGGACACTGTATGTTCTTCTATTACTGAAATAACACATTTTACATCTGTGTGTTCTGCATGAATGCTGGGAAGATAGAGTAAGATGCATAAGCTTCACTTTGGGTCACATGACCAAGAGGAAGGAGGAACTCCCCTATGAGGCAACCCAACCAAGTGCATCTATGAGACTAAAATAAGGGGTGGGACTGAGGGTGACAGACTTTTCTGAAAGACAAAGATCTTTGAACTATTGATAAAAAGGAAAGAAACACCATTTTTGGTACCCCTCTCTATAAGCTTGTTACTGAAAAATAAACTACCTACCTAGCCTCACTTTATGCATGCCTGCTGTTCCCTGTTGAAGAGAAGGGCAATTTTTTGTTGTGGGAAAGTAGATTTGTTTCTTTGAACCCAACTTCAGACTTTCAACTGAACTCTCAGCTAGACCTCACTCTCCTGAGCCCTTTTCAGCCGTGGGTGCAATTGTGCAATCAACTCTGTATCTGCCTTTGCATTGGACTCTTTGCTCCTCTTTGTAAACTGCTTGTAAATCAAGCTGATATGTCTTTGCTCAATCTGAAATAGGACAGTCAGCACAAGATTGGCTGCCTGAGATAAAATAGAAGTCCTTTCCAGCTCCCTGATAATACAACACACTCGGAAAGCTGTAGGCTGGTCAAATTATTTTAATACAATGAAATAGAACTTTATGGAAAAACACTGTGAATTTTGGCTACAAATCATTCTGAGTGCAAAATGTTCCAAGTGTGGAATGGCTATTTCAAGCATTCAAACACTCCCCCCTCCTTAGAATTTGTCCTAATTTGGGATAAAACAGTGCTTTCCCCCGTCATTTTCAAAATTCAACTGTCCTTTTTTATATATATAAAAATCCTCTTTCCAAGCCATGGAGATTTGAAGAATGTGATGGCAAGAATTTAGGGGAAAAGAAGAAAAGTGGGTAAAGGACAATCAGTTCAACCCATACTGAGATGGGAAATAGTTTGGATTTTTGCTTCATGGAGATACATGAGAGGTCACAAGTTAATTTGGAAGGTGAACTTCATTAATATAATCAATCAGTTTACCCTATTTCATTAATATAAACAATTGATTACACTAATGAAATTCAGCTTCCAAATTAATTTGGCCATCTCTCCTCCTATCCTATTTCCTGTATCTAATACAGTAGTGTTATAATACTAATTACTTAAGCAGTGTAGACAGCACTTTATGAGTTGAAATGTGATGTAGCTGTTTTTGTGCAGTGTATGTGTGTAGTACTTTCTTTTTCAAGAAGCTTGCCAGTGCAAAAGTACGTGCTGTTCATGTGCATAAACAATTCCTGTTGCTGTGCTGTCTTTTGTAGCCTTGTTGCTGTCTGCAAAGAATGTTAAATAATACAGAAAGAGATACTATTTCTGAGATTTATTTGTGTGCTTAAACTTTTAGTCAAAAGTTTTTTGGGGGGGTTTGTTGTTGTTGTTGTTTTGCAGGTAGGTTGCCTAATAAAAAAAGCATGCACTGTGAGTATTTTTCTGTTGTTGCGTTGTTTGTGGAGTGTGCTGAAGTGAATTGATGGTTGTTACTTGCCTCTTCATTAGGCTAAGTTCTGTGGCCGTTCTGGGCTGCAAAAAGCATGTTTATCTGTTGATGCTAATGTTCGCTATAGGAATTTAATTTTCTTTTAAAGCAAACTTTTTCATTCTTTTGGTAAGTCAAAGAGCATGTGGCATTTAATTGTGAACTACTAGCCCACTTATTTTCATATCTTACATAAAAGATAAAAGATATGAGCTTTGCTTTATGTTCTCATTTTGGAACATAGCCTGCTTAAAGTTTGCAGAGTACTTTCTAGTAGCTGAATTTCAGGAGCATGATTTTCAACTTGAAAATATGTGTGACCTATGAAGGATAACTCTAGTTTACATAGAAATTAATATAGCTTCTCTGTAAAAGAGAAGCTGTATTAGTTTCCACGTGAACCAGAGTTTTCACTGACATTTATGCTGAATGCTCAAATGCCTTTAGGGAAGCCCCCAAGATTTCTCTAATGATCTTAGTGGAATAGGGGAGATTATCCAATGTGCTCACATAAATATACTGGATTCATAAAACCCAATGAAGGCTGTTACATGAGAGGAATGAGGTATTATGTAGGACAGTGGTGGCGAACCTATGGCACGGGTGCCAGAGGCGGCACTCAGAGCCCTCTCTGTGGGCACGCGTGCCGTCACCCCAGTCCTAGGCCTTCAGCTGGGTTTTATAAAACTTTTTCGCTTTAGGCCTCCGCCGCCGTGTGCAAAAAAAAAAAAAGGTTCAATCAATCAGTCAATTTCAACTTCTCGTGGGGAAAAAAAAGACCTTGCAAAGTTGGAATTGATTGATTAAACTTTTTAGTCCCACCCAGCCTGCCGTTACCACCGTAGCCATGCCCAGCCAATGGGCCATGCCCACCTGGCACCCGACGATGCATAAGTGGGTTTTGGGTTGCAGTTTGGGCACTCGGTCTCTAAAAGGTTTGCCATCACTGATGTAGGAGAATATGTAGGCAGAACGGAATTGTTTCTTTAATCCTTTCATAAATGTAGATTGTTTTCTGAAATTACATATTTCCAGTCCTGGGACCTCATTGCAGGGAAAAATAGATATAAAATAGAAGATATAAGATATAAACATTGGGGAAAGAAATGGCATTCATAGTAGGAAATTTATTCTGCCTTGAAAATGCACCTTTTGTCATTGTGCATTTTCTGAAAACATGCAGCTTTGCTTCATAATGTGCTTTTTCTCTCTGAAAAGGCATGGAATTTTTTTTTTTATTATGGCCTATATAGAATGTGAAAGATTTCCTGTGTGATCAGATGTTGGATTTTTGCCAGAAAGGAAATCTGGCCAGAACAAACATTAGCTATATGAAAAACTGAGTGTTCTTCATTCCCACCCACTATCATTTAAAACACTCATCCACAACCCACAAAGGGATTCTGTGGAGTCTATTTATTTTCATTTAATGTATTTAACAATTACGGAATTCTTGTTGTAAATGTAAAAAATCTGATTTGCTAACAATATGCTTAACTATTAGAAGTTCTCTAGATCAGGGCTTTTCAACCTTTTCACCCATTGTACCACTTTTAGGAGATGGCAATATCCGAGTACCGCCAGTCGCCTAGCAAGGTGTCAAAAACTTGATGACCCCCCAAAAAAACCCCAGAAAAAAGTGATAAAGTACAGGTAGTCCTCGACTTACAACAGTTCGCTTAATGACTGTTCGAAGTTACAATGGCACTGAAAAAAGTGGCCCCCAAGCCACAGCCGAGCAAGATGCCTGCCTGCCCACCTGGTGGCGCTCTTCCTCCTGTCCAAGGTTTTCATTGTTGTGAGCATTTCTGTTGAGGATTGGCAGTGGGGGTGGGGTGGGGGGTGTTTGGTTTTTATTCCCCCCATCTGCTGGGTGGTTGCAGCAGGTTTTGGTCACTTCACGTGACCCTGGGACACTGTGACTGTCATAAATATGAATCAGTTGCCAAGTATCTGAATGTAAATCACAAGAACCTGGAGATGCTGCAACATTCCAGCTGATCGGCGCTTATTCTGGGCTCAACAGAAGCACCAGGGTCAGTGCTACTTTGCAGCTGATTGGTGCTTCTTCAGGGCTCAGCAGAAGCACCAGGATCAGTGCCGAGCTCCAGCTGGAGCCTGGCACTGATCCTGGCACTGATCCTGGCGCTTCCACTGAACCTTGACAGCCCCGAAGAAGTGCTGATCAGCTGGAAAGCGGCACTGATCCTGGCGCTTCCGCTGAGCCCTGACGGCCCTGCAGCTGCAGAGCCATCTCTCGCTCAGGCTTGTGCGGTGCTGCCAACGGTTCAGCTCATTCCCCTCCCCCGCTACCACTTTTCTAGGATGGTCGCTACCACCTGCCAGGTGCCAATGTACCACAGGTGGTACACGTACCACTGGTTGAAAAGCCCTGCTCTAGATCTGTATCCTTCCAATGCAGGTTGCTGTGATACATAGCAGAAAATAAAATACTGTAGAGACTAGAAAAGTAAAAATTAAAAACACATCTTTTTCAGCAGCTCTGATCATAAAAAATAGACTTTCTAACAGTGGAATATGGAGGAATACCGTGAGCAAATTTTAAATCACCCATCACAACCACTTCACTATACATAACAAATCAAGTTAAATACAATCTTTATGTGCTTACCAAATTCACTCTGAATTTTCAAAATATGCTAGAGCAGATAGCAAAACGAACATGATATCTTAGAATTGCACATTGCTCTTCCTAAATTACTGCCAATAAACAGCCATAGAAAAGAGAGAGGGACAATAGGTTTGTTTAGTATCCAGCCAACAGTTAGTAGCCATGCCTGTTCAACTCCTGTGTGGGTTTGTTTGGAAAAAGAGGAAATATCCCCTCTCATCTCCTTCAGGATCTGACAACTCACCTCATCAACAATGGTCTCATTATCTATAAAGTCTGCAAAGGCAACAGTAGGTGTCCATGGGTCATTCTGATTATAGATGCTGGTACTGCAAGGTTCTTCCTCCTTTCGCTTGGTGACAGCCAACTTGTACCTAAGAAGCAGAATTGCAACAAAAGAAACAAAGAATTGTTGAGCTGGATGATTTCATCATTTTCATAGGCATGCAATAAGTTTCCTTAATGCTTATAGGCAATAGTAGCTCCAAAGCCTATGGATACTCTACAAAAATTGGCAAAGCTTATCTGAATATATTCCTTTCCACAGTTGCTCACAATGTAATATATGTACAGATAGTCCTTGACTTACGACCATTCATTTAATGACCATTCAAAATTATAAGGTGCTTGAAAATATGATTTATAGCCAGTCCTTACATTTATAACTGTTGCAGCACACATAAACCCCAATCAGATTATCAAAATTCAGGCACTTGGCAGCTGTCATGCATTTTAATGGTTGCAGCGCATCAGAGTCACATGACTGCCATTTACAATCTTCCCAGGGGTCTTCTGACTAGCAAAGTCAACAGGAGAAGCTGGGTCCGCTTAATGACTATATGACTCACTTAACATCTGTGACAAAAAGGTTGTAAAATTGGGCATGATTCACTTAATGACTGCATTGCTTAGTGACAAAAAAATCTAGTCCTAATTGTGGTCATAAGTCAAGCTGCCTGTATAGCAATAAATGCATTACTAAAACTATTGTGCAGGTCGTAGTTGATTTACGACCTTTTGTTTAATGACAGTTCGAAGTTATAATGACTTATGACCCGTCCTCAAAGTTATAATTGTTACGCTATTTCTTCGGTCACATGATTGCAATTTGCAACCTTCCTAGCTGGCTTCCAACAATCAACGTCAATGGGGGAAATCAAGTTTGTTTAAAGACTGCATGATTTGCTTAATGATCGTGTGATTCACTTAACGATGGAATGATTCACTTAATAATCGTGGTAAAAATGATGGTAAAATTGAGTCCAGTCACATGTGATTCACTCACTGACCACATCACTTAGCAACCGAAATTCCGGTTCCATTTGTGTTGTAAGTTGAGGACTACCTGTAATGAAAACTGTGACAAAATTATCCTAGTGCCAACATAAAAAAAATATGTCAGTCCATAAAACACTGAATAAAAGAATACAAACAAATGGATTCAGTCCAACAATTTAAGATTAAGTTGAAAACAGAAGCACAACAAAGTTATGAAAAAAACAACAACTCACACACTGGCAAATGGTTTTCTATTTCACAAAGGAGTATAGGACAGCGTGATTCAAGCTTGGCAACTTGAAGATCGGTGGGCTTCAGTTCCCACAATTGAAATCCATCCATCTTCACATTGCCAAGATAAAAAGCCCTAGATACTATTATTTAATTAATCTCTATGCCCAACTTTTTTTTTCTATTAAGATATTGCAAGCACCTCAATTCATTACTTATATATTAATTATGCTGTCAACTCTCTCAACTCTCTCAACTCTGATGGTTTATAATAAGCTATTAAAGCAATAAGTATAGATCAGTGATGGCGAACCTTTTAGAGACCGAGTGCCCAAACTGCAACCCAAAACCCACTTATGCATCGTCGAGTGCCGGGTGGGTGTGGCCCATTGGGTGGGCGTGGCCCATTGGGTGGGCGTGGCCCATTGGGTGGGCGTGGCTGCGGTGGTAACGGCAGACTGGGTGGGACTAAAAAGTTCAATCAATCAATTCCAACTTTGCAAGATCTTTTTTTTTCCCTGTGAGAAGTTGAAATTGACTGATTGAACCTTTTTTTTTTTTTTTGCACACGGCGGCGGAGGCCTAAAGTGAAAAAGTTTTATAAAACCCAGCTGAAGGTCTAGGACTGGGGCGACGGCGCGCGTGCCCACAAAGAGGGCTTTGAGTGCCCCCTCTGGCACCCGTGCCATAGGTTCGCCACCACTGGTATAGATAAATATAGATTATATCTGAACAATTATAACTTCATAATAATAAAACAATAAAAATAAGAAACTATTGGCACCAAGCCAACAACCCAGTAACATTAACTCCCACAGAACCTATGGACCTGTTTTGTCTTGTCAGCTTTATAAAAGAATGCTGGGGGATTCTGCAATTGCACATATTTTAAACTTGCCAAGTTGGAACAACACTGCACTAGAGCAACTTATACCATTCCTACCCTAGGCTTGAATTCTGCATGAAAGGAACTAAATAACTATCCTCTAGAGCAGCAGTTCTCAACCTGTGGGTCGTGACCCTTTTGGGGGGTCGAACGACGCTTTCACAGGGGTCGCCTAAGACCATCGGAAAACACATATTTCCGATGGTCTTAGGAACCGAGACACTAGTGAAAATTTCTGCTCAAGGCTATTTCCGCCAGCCAGCTCGGGCAGACAGGAAAGCAGCCGCCTCAGCAGCATGGCGGGGCTGCGCTATCCATCACAGAGTAGCTACTGCCGCGTCGCCACGGCTATGAACCTCCTGCTCGGCGTCTTTCAGGTCCTCTTGCCTGGCTTCCATCTGGGAGAAGTGCAGGGCCAAGGTAAAAAAAAAAAAA